AAAGTGCTCCCCCACTAATACCTCAGTCACTTGCCCTGCGTTATTTCCCAAGAGGAGATCGGATTTTGCTCCTTCTCAAATAGAGCCATCTATATTTTGATGGAGAAAATCTTCCTGAACACATTCAACAAATTCCTCTATATCCCAGTCTGTTTGGAAAGTTAAAATCCCCTACTGTTACAACCCTGTTATTCTTACATCTCCCTACCTGTGATCTCCCTACCTATTTGCTCCTCAATTTCCCACTGACTGTTGTGGGTGGGTGCTATTGTAAATTCCCACCAAAGTGATCACCCTTTTTCTTATTTCATAGTTCACCCATATACCTCACTGGATGATCCCTCTGTAATATCCTCTCTAAGTACTGCTGTGATGATTTTCCCTCATTAAAAATGTCATTCCTCCTCCTCTGTTGCTCCCCCTATTATAATTCCTATGGCATCTGTAACCCAGAACGTTGAGGTGCCCATTCCATCACTCCCTCAGCCATGTTTCTACAATAGCTATAATATCCCAGTCCAGTGTACCCATTCAATGCCCTGAGTTTATCTGCCTTACCTGTCGGGCCTCTTGCATTAAAATAAATTCGGTTTAATTCATCAGTCTTCTCTCATTCCTTGTGTCCTCTTGCCTATCTTGCCTGTTTAACTTCTGTCCTAACCTCAACCTTCTCTTTTTCCTCACTACGGTTTAGGGTCCCCCCTCCCAGCCAGACTAGTTAAAACCCTCCCGAGTAGCTCTAGCAAATCTTGCCGCCAGGATATTCGTCCTCCTCCAGTTCAGGTTCAACTCATCCCTTTTGTACAAGTCACCCCTACCCCAGAAGAGATCCCAATGATCAAAAAATCTGAATCCCCACCCCCTGCACCAGTTCCTCAGCCACGCATTCATCTGCCCTGTTCACGTTCCTCCTGTAACGACGAGCATGTGACACCAGGAGCAATCCACAGGTTACTACCCTTGAGGGGGTTCTATCTTTTAACCTTGTGTCTAACTCCCTATATTTATTCTGCAGGATGTCATTTTTTTTTAACCTATGTCATTGGTACCAATGTGTTCAACAACTTGTTCTGGTTGCTCATACTCCCCTTTGAGAAATTGCTGCAATTGCTCAAAGCCATCTTGATCTCGGCACCAGGGAGGCAACACACCATTCTAGAGTCTTGCTTGTGGCTGCAGAAATGCCTGTCTGTGCCCCTGACTAGATAGCCCTATCATAATTGCTTGCTTCGATTTTGCCGGACCCCGCTTTACAGCAGAGTTAGCCATGGTGCCACAGACCTGGCTGCTGCTCCTATTTTCCCTTGAGAAACCATTCCCCCGCAATGGTATCCAAAATGATGTACTTGTTTGAGAGGTGGAGAGCCACAAGAGAGTCCTGCACTACCTGCCTATCTCTCCTTGCGGTCATCCATCTACATGACTGAACCTACGGTGTGACTACTTCTCTGAACTACTATCTATCACACTGTATGCTCCTCCGTGCATCTAACTGGTGCTCCAAACAATGCAGTTTGAGAGGAGCTTCAGCCAGACACTTCCTTCAGACTTGTTTGCCAGGGACTGTCGACTGCTGCCTGATCTCCCATGGCTGGCAGAAGGAGCATGTCACTCCACTGACTGCCATCTCTGGCCCTTTAAAAACTAATCTAATTAGGGGGAAAATATCTTGCCTTGCTCTTACCTTGTTGCTGCTCGCACTCCCCGACAGAACACGTTCTTCATCCAACCCCTACAAGCAGCAATTCAACTGCATAGCAGCCACTGTCAAAAATGGCCCCTCCACTAGAGCTTACCTCCCTTTTATTCGCTGGTAAAACTAACAACTGCTTACCTCCAACAGATCTTTTTAGACCTTTCAAGTCTGCTACATTGCTCCTCTTCTCTGCCTGGGTTGTTGCTGGTGAAACTAACTTAGAGCAATCTAAATATTAATTTGTGGATTTATCTGAAGTTCTTAAAAATTGAAGAATGGGAGTAATGTCTTTTTTAATATGTCTCTATAATGGTTGAAAATGTGGTTGAGATTACTCTTAGGAGGTAAACAACAACCTGCACTCAATTAGGGGTTAGATGGCTGTGTTGGAGTAGCTAAGATGTGAACATCCCAACAGTGTACCATTCTGTTCTGCATTTGTCCGCATTGAAGCAGCTGAGGTTGTCAATTGTCATCAATTTAAACAATTGAGACATTTTGCAACAAAAACAAAAATTGTTGGAGAAACTCAGCAGATCTGGCAGCATCTGTGGAGAGAACATTTAGAGTCCAGTGACTGTTCTTCTGATGCTGCCAGACCTGCTGGTTTCTCCAACAGTTTCTATTTTTGTTTCAGATTTCTAGCATCTCCAGATCTTTATTTTATTTAAGACATGTTGCTATCACCCCTTTGGAAACCCATTCCAGACCATCATAACGTGTTGCATTTAAAATAAAGCCTCCCAGTTGTTTTTTTGACAATCAAGTTATTTGATGCCTGCTAATAAAAACAGCTTCCCTTTATTCAATTTACCTTGTTCACCCCCTCATACCTGTGCCATTTTGGCATTTATAAGCACCTTTCTGGGAGAGCAAGGCTCACATTTGACACAGTACTCTTGCTGAGGCCTCGTCAGGATTTAAAAACCCTTATTCAAGTGGTAAAAATTTCTTTCTTTTGCACTGTATGTGTTTTTTTTTGGAAAACACAGGATCACCTATGCTTTAACTGCCTGATCACCTTCAAAAATTGTGTATGTGTTTCCCATGGTCCCACTTTACACCTTTTGAAATTGCACATTAATTCATACTGCTTCTCTTTTTTACGCCAATTCAAACGCATCACTTAACATTTCTCTAGATTAAATTCCTCTGCTGTGTGTTTGCCCATTTCACCACTCAGTCTCTTAACCAATTTGGATCCACGCTTCTACTGCCCTTGACAAATCCATTATATGATCAGGTACCTGCTGGAAGTTCATAGAATATAAGATGCACTGCCTTTGTCAACTCTCTGATTATTTTATTAAAGCAGTCATGTTTTTGGAAAGGTATATAACATTTGCAACTCTTCAGTCTTCCTACACCATGCCCATGTTCAACAAGGTTGTTTTAAAAGTTCATTTCACAGGAGGAGGGCATTGTTGGCTAGGCCAGCATTTATTGCGCATCCCAGAGGGCAGTTAAGAGTCAAATATATTGCTGTGGGTCCAGAGTCACATACCAGGTAAAGATGGTAGCTTCTTTCTCAAGAGGGCATTAGTGAACTAGATGGGTTTTTCCTGACAATTGACAATGATTTCATGGTCATCATTGGACTCTTAATTCCGGAGTTTTAGTGAATTAAAATTCCACCATCTGCTGAGACGGGTTTTGAGCCTGGGTTCCCAGAGCATTACCTGGGGTTTCTGGATTAACAATTCAACGATAATATCATTAGGCCTCCCCATAGAAAGATTATGGCCAGCATCAACAGCTATTTCCATCCCTACTTCCCTCAACAATTTAGAGTGCTTTTAATCTGGAATGCGCAACTCTTCTACTTTGCCAATCTTTTAAGTCCTCCCTTTTAGCTGTCTTTATCCTTTTCTACTTTTCCTATTCTTTCCTCCTTTACATTCCTTTTGATATTGACAGCTCTGTCTTCTTGTAAAGATTAGATACAAAATACTGGCTTAATATGTCAGCCATACCCTTTGCCTCCACAGGATTACATTTTATGTTCCTTTTCAGTCTTTGAATATTGTTTTGTTTTCTGTGTTCATAAAATATTTGAGCCTTTATTTTATCCACTGGCCATTCTTCTCTCTTGGGTCCTCTACATGAACTTTTCAATTCTCCTCTGCATTCTCCATATCCTCCTTTTATTTCTCGAAGCTAATATGATTGCAGTATTAATGACAAACTTCATAATTCTATTTCCTTTTAATTCAACTTTGTTTGGTCAACTAGGAAATGTTGGTCTAACCCCAAATATCTGCCTTTGGCCTATTTCCTTTAATATTTGTTTAACAAAAAATATCTAAATCAGATTTAAAATTAATAAATGATCAAGCATCAACTGCAGATTGTGAAAGAGAATTCCAAACCCATCTTATTCTTTGTGTGTAGAAGTGTTTCCTAACATCTTTTCTCTTCACTTCCTAATTTTTAGACTTCGCCCCCGTGTTACAGAATCTCCAACCAATGGGAAATAATTTATCTTTGTCTACCCTGTCTATTTCTGTTAATATCTTGAAATCTTTGATCAGATTATCCTTTTAACCTTCTAAATTCTAGATAAAACAGCCTAATTTGTATAATATCTCCTCATTAATTAACCCCTGAAGTCCGGGTATCATCCTTCTAAATCTATGTTGTATTCCCTCCAAGGCCAATATATCCATCTTAAGTATGATGCGCAGATCTGCTCACGGTCCTCCAAGTATCTTCATCTATGATTATTCTTTTCTTTTTCCGTTGCAGCATTAAACCTAATATTGTGATTACTTTTTCCATATTCTGTTTGCATTGCCTTTCTCCATTATCTGATTCCTTCAGATTTCTGAACAACTATTTATTCTCGTGCCAATTGTTTCACAGCCTTTAATATTATTCCTCTCTGCTTCATCTTGACTCCCCTTCCCCTTCCCCTTCCAAGTTAGTTGTTTAAGCTGCTTCCTGTGTACTGCTGTTAGTGTAAGTAGTGTAATGGGATACTTTATGCTGTCAAAGAGGGCTGACAAAGTCTTGGTTTGATGTCTCAGCTAGAAAATGACACTCTGATAGTGCAACATTTCTTCAGTATTGCACTGAAGTGTCAGACTAGATTCTGTACTCGAGTTCTGAAGTCGGAATTGAATCCATTAATATCCAAATGCAGAGTCCATTTATATCTATGATACACATGACTTTATTTTATGTATTTTTAAACGTGAAAAATGAATACAAGATTATAATGCTTACATTTGTCTAGTATAAGTGCATAATTATTGCATCTGGCCATCTATATAGTGAATAAAATGCATTAATTGTTATTTTGCAGACACTTGATTTTGCTGAGACAGCAGTATGGAAGTCAAGTCTTTGTTAACCTGCTAAGAATTAAAGGAGGAGAGGAGCTGCTTAGCAGGGCTTTTAAGGTAGGAATGTCACCAGTGGAAAATTGTCTGAAATATTTTGTGTACACTTAGATGTGGATTGTTTGATGAGTTGGCCACTATCTTACTGCAGAGTCTTGACGGTGTGTAACTTTTGAGATCGAGATTTGTACTGAATTTGAACCTGAGTTTAAATTTGGGTAAGGAAAAGCATGATGTGGAATTATTTGCCAAGAAGGCTTGGTGAACTGCTATTCTACTTCAAGTCATGAGTTTGACCCAATCCCATTGTGTGGGATGCAAGTTCCAGTTGAAAAAGGCCCATTGTTCTTGACATAAAGCGAAATACTACAGACATAAACGTCATGAAAACCAGATATTCAGGTAATATGGAGCAGATCTGGAGGCATCTATGGAAAGAGAAAGACACTTAATGTTTCAAGGTAATGACTATTTATCAGAATGGGGGATTCGGGGAAAGTAGTTGCAGCAGGTTTTAAGCACCTTCGTAGAAGACAGAAATTATTTGACAGGATAATGTGGCAAGACAAAAGGTGATGATGATAAGGAGACTTGAACACAAAAGCAAAATACCGAAAATGTTGAAAATCTAAAATGAAAACAGAAGATGCTGGAATTACTCAACCCGTTGGGCAGTGCCTGTGGAGGGAAAAGGGGGTTTAACCTTTTAGATCTGCGAGCTTTCATCAGAATCTTTCATATATGGTAATGGGACAAGGGAAGAAACAAAATGTTGATATAGAGGAGTTGGGACTGAGGATATGATCTGAAATTATTGAATTCAATATTGAGCGCAGTAGTCTGTAAAGCCTCTTTTTGAAAGACTAGATCCTTGTGCTTGCATTGATCTTCATTGAAACACTGCATGAGGTAGATGTCAGAGCAGAAGTGTTGAGCAAATTAAAATGATAGTTAACTGGAAGCTTAGGTTGACATGTGTGTATTAAATGGAAATGTTCCACAAAGTGGTCACCTTATTTGGTCTCCTCAATGCAATGGAAACTACAATTAAAGGAAGAAAGTGCTTGAAAAACTCGGCAGTTCTGGCAGCATCTGTAGAATTAAACAGATTTAATCTTTTGGATTGAACATGACTGTTCTTTGGAAGCGTTCACTGTTATTCACTTATTAGCCTTATGGGCATTTGATTTGGTGGGTTTGCCCAAAAGGAAGTGATGCAAGGTTTGCACAAGCTTTTCATCCAATATGTAAGACCTTGTTGACTCTGTTAAATACTACCATTCCAGTCAGATGACCACAAAACTGGTCAAAGAAGGAAAGCGAAGTATAGTGAGTAAATTTCAGAGTTTAGGGCCTAGTCAGAGGAGATTAGGGAGGTAAGTTATGGAGAGTTTTGAAAGTAAGGTTTCAGAATCTTAAAATCAAGATATTGCATGACTGAGTGCCAAAGTCAAGCACCAGAACAAAAAGGGGATGGGACTTGGTGCGAGTTCAGACATGGGTAGCAGAGTTTAGCACAACCTCAAATTTACCAATAGAATATGGCTAAGTAGCCAGTAGTACACTGAAATAGTCAAGTATAGGGATGACAAAGGTATTAATGAACATCGGTTGAATAGAGATGGGGCCAGGTCTGGTGATGGAGGTGGAAATAGGCAGCCTTAGGTTGGAAGATCATCTTCAGATGAAACATGGCACCAAGATTGCAAAAGGACAGGCTGAGTTGTAACTATTTCCTGGGAGATGGATGGAGTTAATGGAGCTGTGACTGGGGTCTGAAAACAATAAACAAAACTGCTGTCAGGAGCAGGAAACAAGGCGAGATACCACTTAGAGATAGTAGGAACTGCCGATGCTGGAGAATCTGAGATAACAAGGTGTAGAGCTGGATGAACACAGCAGGCCAAGCAGCATCAGAGGAGCAGGAAAGCTGACGTTTCGGGTCTGGACCCTTCTTCAGGTACCACTTAATTGTGTGAGAGTGAAATGTCAGTTTCCCGATGTTGGGTATTAAGGATTGTGATCACTAACAGAAGTGGCAGGACCCTATTTTTAACACATCAGTAGCATCTTATGCATACTTATTAAAACATGTGGTCGTCAGATTCAATTATACCTTTACATACAAGTCAGCAGACCCATAAGAAATAAGAGCAGATATAGTTGTTTCATTCCATCAATGTATAACTGATTTGTGACGAGTGAAAATGAATCCTGCAGGTAGGCACTCACTTCTTAGGGACCTCTCATGACTTGTAAATCCTTACCCATTATCAGGAGCCTCAGCTATTTTCTCCAGCAAATGCAGATGGCTTCTGAGTGACAGGGATATCCATAGAAACACTGACTTAAGGCACCTGGACAAGACCCACAAAGCCAAGCAGAGAAAATTGACTCAGTAGCTAGGGAACAGCGTTTAGAATGGGAATCAAAAAGTATGGCCTCCGTCTTCTCAATGTTTCTTTGGAAGAAATTTCTGCTCATCCAGCTCTGGGTATTGTGTAGTTAGTCTGATAATTGACTAACAGTGGAGGACTTGAGAAGAATTTAGGAGGAGATGTTGCTTGATTATTATTGAATTGAATTAGTTTTGTTGTCACGTACTCAAATGAGTACGGTAAAAAGTTTACAAGTCTCCACTTATGGTGCCACTTTAGGTATAAGGTAACTAGGTTGTAGATTATTCAGTATAAGTTCTTAGGAGAGAAAAACAAATCAGAAAAATAAATGAATAAAAGTCCAGCTTTACAGATCGTAGGAATAAATGAGAAAATAGGGAAGTAAGTTCAGAAGAACAGCAGGTGCAGGAGGTGGGATGGGGATGGGGGGTAAAGGAGGGGCAGGTGCAGGAGGGGAGATTGGGTGAAGGTGGGAAGGAGGGGCAGGTGCAGGAGGGGAGACGGGTGGGGGGTGGGAAGGAGATGGTGGTGGGGGAACAGGAGAATGGGTAGGGATTAGCATTGAGGATAACAACCTGGTCATGATTCACCTCAGAAGTAACTCAAACTGAAACGAAGCCGGAATAGGCCCTTGAGTGCTGGGTGTTTGTAACATTGTAACCAGTGGATGCCAGCATTTCCCGGGCGTGCATACTTCCCATGCAAGTGGTGGAATAAATCGAAGGGACATGACCGAAATAAGTTAACGCGTAACAAGAACGTGCCCCCCTCTGCTTTATTTGGCTTCAGTTTCATTCCGGAGAGAAGTGACCACAAAGAGCTAACTTAATTCGGTAACCAGCAGAAGGAGCAATCCGTGCTGCTTTATGATCAGGTTTTTAACGTACATGAAGGGTACAATAATAAGACCCATCATGATGATTGAGGATGTAGCAACAGCAAAGATCTTAATATCAATGTTGAGGAAAGAGCTCGAACAGTTCTGGTCTTGTTATCATCCATCTATGGTAAAAGCTCTGCACTTGAATCACCAAATTGAATTTTTGTCAGAATTGCCCAAGTCCAAACAGAATTTTGCAGAAGGAATGGCATTGCTAATTATTTGGAAGAGGATCAGCAGTGAAAGACAAGTAAAATCAGACTGATTTGGACTCATTTTCTCTGTAATTTAAAAAATTGCTTTTTACCTATGGATCTTTAATAACAATCCTTCCAAATTCAGTCCACGCTAGCACCCAGCCTCCAGTCTGCACCAGACTTTGACTCCAGAATGCGCTGACCTTCACCTCAGGGCTCTCAAGGCTGGGAGACCACTCTCTGGAATCAGCTCGAGGCCAGACGTCCATGCTGAAGCCATGTCAGGCTGAGAGACTGTAACACCAGGCTGGGAGAATGCCTCACTGGGTTTACACTGAGGCCGAGAGTCCGAGACCACGCTGATTTCAGGATGTTGCTAAAAAGAATGAAGCGAGGGGAAAAAAACAAAGAGAAGAAAAAGGATCAGATGGAGCAGACAGGCTTTGACTGAAGCATCCTACTCTGCCATCCTGAAGTCTGTAGGTCTCCAGAGGGTCAGTCGACTGCTCTGGAGATATGAGTTCAAATCCCACCATGGCAGATGGTGAACATGTAATCAATAAAAAACAATCTAGAATTAAAAAGCTAGCCTAAAGAGAGGGCTAAACCAACCATGGCTAAACAAGGAAGTTAAGGACAGTATAAAAGGAGTTGAATTAAGTTGAAAGAAAAAGCATATAAGGAGGCAAAATATTAGAATCCCGCAAAGGAGGACTAAAGAGATAAGAGAGAAAGCAAACTAAGAGGGCAAATTAGCAAGGAATATAAAAACTGACAGTAAGAGCTTCTTTTAAAAAGAAATAGAGAGGCCAAAGTGAACATAGACACCTTAGAATTTGAATCCGGGAGATAATTTTGGGACACACAAATGGCAGATGAGTTAAACTGATATTTTTTACCCTTCTTTACGTTGGAAGATACTTCGAGCATTCCATTAAATATAAAAATACGGGGAGGAATTAAGTATCACCATCACTAGAGAAATAGTATAAGACAAACTAATGGCGCTAAAAAGCAGATAATTCTCCAGGCCCTGGTGGCTTACATCCTAGGATCTTAAAAGAGGTGGCTACAGAGATAGAAACTGAAAGAACTGTAAATTAGGAACAAAAGCAGAAGTTGCTGGAAAAGTTCAGCACGTCTAGCAGCATCTGTGCAGAGAAATCAGTTAACTGATTTCTTTGCATGGATGCTGCCAGACCTGCTGAGCCTTTCCAGCAACTTCTGCTTTTACAGCTACAGAAATAGTGGATACGTTAGTGTAATCTAAAAATCCTTGGATCCTGGAGAAGTACCTGAAGATTGGAAAACTGCCATGTGACACCCTTATTCAAAAAGGGAGAAAAGGAAAGGAAAACATGTGTAACTATAGGCTGATTGGCCTAACATCTATTGTTGTAAAAATGTTGTACTTGATTATAAAGGAAATAATAGCTGTACACTTGAAAAATTATTAATCAAGCGTACTCAACATGGCTTCATAAAAGGGAAATCATGTCTGACTAATTTATTGTGATTTTTCAAGGAAGCCTCAACCAGAGTGGACTGAGGGGAACCAGTAGATATGTTGTATTTGGACTTCCA